GAAAATCAGCCTACAAATCACAATCCCAGAGAATTTAGACAACAATGCAGACACTAAGAGAGACTTACATAGATCTAATCTTACATGGGAAGTAGAAAATATAAAAAGACAAGATCTCCTGAGTAAATTGGGAGCATGGGGACCTTGGGGGAGGGTTGGTTGAAGGGGAGGGGAGAGGCAGGGAAGGGAGCAGAGGAAAATGTAGAGCTCAATAAAAATCAATAAAAAAATATGTTTTGGTAGGCCAAGAAGATGGCTCACTGAGGAAAGGTATTTGCTTCCAAGCCTGATGACCTGAGTTCAACCCCCAGAACCCACGTCATGAAAGGAGAGAACCAATTCCCGAAAGTCTTCTGGATTCTACTTACATATGTGGCACATATTCATACATCACACACACACACACCTCCTCAAATATATGTGGAATGCTTTTAACATACATTATTGATTGAATACTTGCTTAATAAGATCTCCTTCTGAACATTCCTTGTGACTCACAGAGCATTTTCCTGTAAATGTTCCCATTGGTGTCTGACTCAGCCTCTCTGTTCCTGATTTAACTCAGGTAACCGGTTTGACCATAGTTCAGAAGTTTATTCACCAGTGAATGGTGATGAAAATAAGGTATTTGCCAATGGAGACTATTTATGTAAAGTCCCCAGTGTTGGGCAGAGTGCATTACTAAACACAGTAAATGTGGAAGTCCAGTCCAGAGAGAATGCGTGACCAACACCCAAGTGTACAGTCCAGAGAGAATGCGTGACCAACACCCAAGTAGCAGAATTCACAGCTAGAATTTGGGGTGCTCCGCCTTTGAGAGGATAGTGCTTGGGCTACAGTAAACGACTTCTCGTTATCCTGAGTTTTTTTCCTTCCCTTTGTCACACATAATACTTCTCTTTGAAGTTAATTTCCCCCCTCTAACCTAAGCGATAAAGAAAAGACACCATCCACATGCTGTGACCTCATCAGACCAGGACACAGATAGGTCAGCTCTGCTGCCACCCCCTCCACTTCCGCCCAACCACATGTGATCCAAATGTCTGTACCTTTTTACGTTGATGATGGCTTGGCTCAAGACCTTGGAGCAGTCATCGCTAGAATTGGCAGGCCTCTCTGAGAACACAGGAAAAGGGAGCAAAGTGATGCCAAGGACAGATATCAAGCCTCTAAGGCACAGGATGCCTGTGGAGTGGGCTGCTCGGCTCTGCATCATGGGAGATTCTTTTCTATAGTTTTCCTGTGTGGCCTCTTGTGTTCCTCTCAACTCTTGTTGCCACAGATAACACCTCAGAGTCCCTGGAACTCCTGTTTTGGTAAAGTGTCTGCCTCAGCCTTAGGCCGGGGGTCTGTGAGGTTAACATCTCTGTGTATGCCACACCTCAGGGTCCACCGTCCCCTCCCCTCCCTGGTTGCTGATTTCAGCTGCGTCCCCTCGGCATCACCCTTGTCACATGGGACTCTTGGTCTCTTAGTTGTTCTGTTTCTGCCTGCCCAGCAGACTGATGTGCATCTGAGTGTCGGGAGAACCTTTGGGTCGTCTACTCAGTGTGCCATCTCTTGATCCACGCGTGTGACAGGCCCTAAAATAGCCAGTGAACTCAGAGTACTCTGTACTCTGGGCCCCAAGGTAACGTGTGGAGTTTAGCCTGGTCCAGGAGCGAGGGGACCTTTGTATGGCCACTAGTGAGTTTGAGCAAAAAAACAAGTCATGCATCTACAGTAGCATCCTTCTCTTTAGATGTGTTAAATCAAATGATCCCAGAGACTTTGTGTACATACACACACACACACACACACACACACACACACACACACACACACACACACACGGTGTACATACATACACACATCATGCCCTGTAGGTGCTGATGGTTCACAGAGGATAAAAAGGCCATAGGTGACCCCCCACAGTGGATAGGAGAGGACCCACTCTGCGAGGGCAGCCTGTTATGTGAAGAAGTGTGTGAATACCTTTGCGGTAAGGCTGCCAGCTATTCCTGCAGCTACATAAAGAGGTGGATTTTGTGACCCTCAACAGCATCGAGTACGTGAGGGAGGGGGTTAACTTTGTTAATCAGTTGTGTCTTTCATTGGTACTCCTTTGATAGTGAAACTGAAATCGAGTGTGGACATTTTTATACCTGTGGGAGAGCCCCACTGAACATTTTCATACCCTAAGAGCAGCACAGCGGTCCTCCCTAGTTCTTGTCTGTGTTGGGGACCCAGAGTCTGAATGCTTTCTCAAGGTCACAGTGGAGGGCACTGTATACTTCAGGGTAGTTCATATTTGCAACTGCTTTAAAAATGAGCATTTGTGCTTATTAAAGGTAGCACACACCTTTAATCCCAGTCCTCATGAGGCAGACGCGGGCAACGTCTGTGAGTTCAAGGCCAGCCCGGTCTACAGAGTGAGTTCCAGGTCAGCCAGGAGACAGAGAGACCCTGTCTTGAAAAAACAAACAAACACTTGGGCTGAAGAGAAGGCTCAGTGATAGTGATTAAGAGAACTGGCTGTTCTTCCAGAGGTCCAGAATTCAATTCCCAGCAACCACATGGTAGCTCACAACCATCTATAATGGGATCTGAATTCTGGAATGTAAGTGTACATGCAGAGAGAGCATTCAGACTTAAAAGATAAATAAAATTAATAGAAAAAAGAAAAAAGAAGCACATGTTAACATTTGACCTGGCAGGGTTGCTGCTGAGGAAGCTTTGGCTTCTATTACTGTATAAACTCGGAAGTCAGAAACACCTGCTTTCCTTTAAACAAGTTTGTCATTGGTGTTTTCCTTTAAACCCCTATTTTATTCCGAAGTTCATGGGATTTGCTGTGATTTCAAGTAAATAAAACTCCAGAGAAGAGTTTAGAGTTTAGACACCTCCTGACAGCGAGTGTCCACTTAAACAGCCCCTGCACTGAGTTGTCCCAGTCTGGCTGTAGCACCTCTATGTTCCCACCTGAGGCCCCTTCTCAGCAGCACTGATGTGGAACCTGAGGTCTCTCCTGCCCAGGCCTGGTGAAGGCACTGAGAAGGGGTCACATCCTAAGGAGGCAGGCCAGATAGAACTCAACCCTGCGTTCTCCTTCCCCACAGCTGATGGGACAGCTCAGATGTGGCCCTTTTGTGAGTTGGAAACTGTGTGTGCAACCAGGAATCCTGCAGCCCTGGCAGCTGGCAGCTCAAGCGTTGCCATCGCCACAGCTGTCGTTAGTCCTCAGTACCCCCTCCCTGCCTAGCCTCATCCAGGCTGAGGGTGTGAAAGTCGAGTTGGGCATTGCCAGGTGCAACCTGGCTCTCAGTTCCAGCTCTGCTGTGGCATGGCCAGACTTGAAGTTCCAGAAGGGCTGTGTGCCTGTGTTAACACACTCGGCGAGGTGTGTGAAATACACACTGTCCTCACGATGAAGTCATCTCATTCTAGCTCTTGTCTGTCTGTTTGATTTGTGTGGAATTCCGTCAGAATTAACCAATGTGAACATTTCTGCCCCCTAAGGCTGTTGACTGTGCTATTAGGCACACTAAGGCTTTGACAGGAAAAGACTTTAATATTTTGAAAAAATTAAATATTGACACATTTTGAATCGGTAGTATGCCCTTGCTTCAGCTTTTCTTCAAGGAGAATGAGGCGATGTGCCCCATGTCTTTGGGGAGACTAGTGCATTGTGTGAGAAAACAGCCTGGCAAGCCCCTTTCTCTCACATTAGATAAGGAAATAGAAAGTCCTGATTCCCAGGACCCTACCCTGGGGTGAGGGTCCTGAATGTTTCTGCTTCTCTGAGAAAGTCACCAGTGTCATGCCAAGTTTAAAGATCTGAAGACAGCACACATCTGAGAATCTGACCACTTGTATACTATTCTCTCTCACTCGCTGTGTAACATTAGGCAAGTTGCTTGGCCTCTCTGATAGCCTGTTTTCCTACATGTAAAATGAAGATGTTATCACTGACTTGAAAGTGTTGTAGGAACCAAATGAAACAGTAGTGTATGCATAAGGCACGGTGCACACATAAGGCACAGTGCACACATAAGGCACAGTGCACTCATAAGACACAGTGCACACATAAGGCAAAGTGCACACATTTAGAACAGTGCACACATTTAGAACAGTACATACATCAGGTTTGATGCACACGTAGGGCACAGTGCATGCTTGTGACATGGTGCATATATAAGGCACGGTGCATGTATAAGGCTTTTTGTCTCTTCAGTAAATTAGTTATTAGCTAATTTTTCCATGATTAGTCTCAATTTATAGGACATCTTAAAACAATGTCTCTATTCTGGGTCTCTGCAACTTCACAGAAATTGAAAACCGTGGGTAAAGTTAAAAGCAGCAGTGACATACAAAAAAGGTTTAGAGTAACGCCTACTAATATTGCTAGCTAATTTTCATTTTGTTTCTATAAGAACGAAGTTTCACTTTTCCTTCTCATATTGATGGCAAGGTTGTGCTTGACATTTGATATTCAGTTCTTTCTCTCTGTCCCCAGAATAGTCAGACTGCATCTAACTAGTCAAGATGTCTAGAAACAGATGGTTCACTGTTGGAGTGAGGAGCTGCAAAAACCCATGTAGTTTCTTCCCTTGACCCCGAGTCATTCCCTGGTTATTCCAAGACGCCTGGTGTACCGTGGTGACTTCTCACACAGAGCGCCTGGGGACCACAGAGGAGGTGCTCCACATGCAGGCCAGGGATACTCTTCTAAGTGGGGAGTCGTCCAGAATGCGTGGACGTGGTGAGGTGACCGGGGAATGCTTCTCCAAAGGTGTTACCTATTACGTCAACGGGACCTCAGATGTATGCTTTTGGTTTGCAGTTGTTTTGTCTTGTTTTGGGGCACAGTGTCTCATGTAACCTAGGTTGGCTTCAAACTTGTGTGTAGTAGACTTCTGATCCTCAATATTGTAATAACTGTGTCTGAGTTGGGTAATCCTCGGCAGCTCTCTGGCTTCTTGTTTGTGCCATCGTGCTAAGCGTTTCCTTTCCTTTTCCAGATACTTACTGGAGCAAGATTTCCCCGGCATGAGAATTGGTCCGGAGCCGACCACAGATTCCTTCATTGCTGTGATGTACGGGGAGACCGAGGGAAGCACCCCTGGGAACGCCTTAGTTGTGGATCCCAAAAAGCCATTCCGAAAGCTTAGTCGCTTTGGAAATGCTTTCCTTAACAGGTAAGGGCCAGAAAACTGCCCTCTTTGATCAGGGTGTTCAAACTTTTCTTCAAACTATTTCCTGCCACTTATGGGGTCCAAACAGAAGGACAGAGCCTGTGTTCTGGAAGAGGGAAGTGCGTGCGGTGGTGCTATCATTTCCTAAGACTGTCAGAAGGCTCGATTGTTTGCATCTGTTCTGAGTGATCTCCCTGGGCATAGCTGGGGCCCAAGATGGACATTATGCTGCCCAGTGTGAGGGCAAATGTCTCATAATTTAGTTTGCACAAGAATAGTTGAGGTCGCCCAGCTCCTGTCACTAGCAGTGTTAAATAGCTGGGGGACAGCCACTCCTTGGGTACAGTATGCAGGACTTCCCACACTCAGGAAACTTAGCCCAGAGAAGACTGACGTCCAGATTTGGTCTGTTGATTCAGGATAAATCACTTCACCTTCCTGAATGTTCCTCTGACGTTTTATTCCTATACTTTGAGCTCCTTTCTTATTCCTTGAAGCAGAGCAAGGTTGAAATAGGGTGATAACAAAAGGTTAGCTTCTCTGTGTGGCCATTAATTTTCCAGACATAGATGGGTGTGGATTGCTCTGCCTTGACTGGAAGTGTGTCTTGCGCTGTTGTCTTTCAGCAGACTTCCTGGTACAGCTGAAGTGTGGCACGGGGAGAGCAAATGACGGGGTCTTTGCTCAGCTCTGTAGTAGGATGAGGTTTCCTGGCCTTTCCTGCTCCACTGTCCCTCCCTCTCTTCCTTCCTCCCTCCCTCCCGCCCTGCTCTCCTCCTTTTTCACCTCTCCCAACTTTTTCTTCCAGTTTTATTTTTTAATTACTTTATTTAGTTCTTTTAGTTCTAATATATGAAACAAAACATGCAAATCTTTTTATCACTTAATACAATACTCTGGTTCTGTTTTGCTACAAATGACAGGATTATGTTATGGCCAAATAGCACTCTATGTATATGTGTATGTGTATGTGTGTGTATATGTATATATCACACTTTCTCCTCTTTTGTCCTGGGGCTGGAGATTGAGCCCACGTGGGGCTAGGTAAAGCGTGCTTTACCTTTGGGCTATATATCCAGTCCTCTTATTACTTGTTTTTTGGGGGATAGGTGGTAGGGCATTAGAGAAGTGCTGCCCAGGCTGGCCTTGAACTCACTCTGCAAACCAGACAGGCCTTGAACTCGAGGTCATCCTGCCTCATCTTCTAGAAGCTGAAACTGCAGCTGTACCACAGGCTTGGCTACCATATTTTCTTATCTCGTTGTTGTTGGTGAGCACCTAAGCTGCTTTCACATCTTAGCTCTTATGAATAGTGCCACAATAAACCTAGCTGTGCACACTTCTCTTGTGCATCCAATTTCACTTTCTTCAGATATATTATATTCACAGGAGTAGATAGCTGGGTGACAGGTAGATCTTGGTTATTTGAGGACACTTATGTTTTCCGTAGGGGCTACCCCACCTGACATTCACCACAGTGTACAAAGGTTCCTTTCTCCTCCACAAAATCACCAGCATATTTTAATAATATCCATTCTAACTGGGGGAGACAGGATCTCATTGTAGTTTTGATTTTTATCTCCCTAATGGCTAATGATACTGAGCATTTTTTTCATGTGTTTAACTGACATTTTTATTTCTTTTGAGATTATGTAGCCACTTTTTATTGGATTGCAGTTCTTTGGGAGTTACTGTCTTTATAGTCTAGATATCAATACCCTGTCAAGTAGCTTCTCATCATATTTTATAGATTGTTTTTCACTCTGTTGGTTGCTTCCTTTACTGTGCAAAGGCTTTTTAGTTTGAAACAATGCTGTTTGTCAGTTTCGACTTTTGTTTTTCTGTGCTTTTAGCTTTATCTGGAAAATTAAGTTCATGGTTGGGACAGTTAATATTGTTAAAATATGTACGTTTTCTTTTTAAACCCCTTTCCTCCTCCTTTCTGCCATTCCTCCACACCCCCCTTTTTCCTCTTTTCTAAGTGTAACTTTAAAGAATGGGGAGCCAGCCATCAGCTAGAAGTGGAGGACCAGCTCCAGCCTGCTTAGGAAGAGGAAGTAGGGCTGGTACTGGGGCACAGCAGGAGACTTGAGCTGCATTTCTGCTTTCTAGATGTTTCTAAAAATAAGAGCAGCCTCTCCCTCTGATTGCTGCCTGTCCAGAGCCTGAGAGGCTCCGTTCATGAGGACCCTGGAATGAACACTTGTACAGTGGTTGTGCTGAGAGCAGCCCAGGGAGCCTCCAAGATTCCATCTATGAGCAGATTCCTCCTTTAAAGGCTTTCAGATGCTTCTGTTGCAAACCAAAGATAGCATCCGAGGGGTAGCAAGAAAACTCGGTAGGTTAGGCAGAAGTGTACAGCTGATGAGGATGGAGAAGTTCATTCTTGTTGTTAACAGTGACTTACAAAACACTGTCCGGATGACCTCCCCTGCAGATTCTCTTCTTCAGGAGGGGCTTGTGTCTTAACTCCAAAGCTGCCATGGGTGGCAGCTTCTCCTTGTGCAGAAGTTAAACCCAGGGAAAGATCCCAAGGTCTTGAGAGCCTCAGTACAAAGTGAATGAACCAAGTCCAAGGAAATGGCAACAAAACACACACACACACACACACACACACACACACACACACACACACACACACACTTTTTGGGAACTCAGGATGTGAAGTAAGGAACAACTAGACTGGTCCCAGCACTTTTCTATCTAGAGTCCCAGGCACAGTAATCTTCCTCCTGGAAGGTTGCTTTAGAATCCTTACATTCATTGCCCTTGCCTTTTCTTTTATGGTTTATTATTATTATTATTATTATTATTATTAAGCCTGACAGGCCTTTAAAGAGAAATAAATCTGACTTTTTTTTCAAATTCTCATTTAGCAAAGTCCATACTTTTAAGGACATATGCAGAAAGAATGATTATTAGTTTGTTTTACTTTCCTAAAATAACTTGTTTTTAATCTCAAACTTGGAGATAAATATGGAAGAAAAGTATAGAGGAAAAATTTTTGAATGGCAAGGTTCACTATCTTAGAATCTAAAATGTGCTGATAATAATCCATGCATTATGTAAGTCGAGTATTAATCAAACAACTAGACAGCTTGTGTCCTGCACTGGCCCACACTCTACTTGAATATGTAACATGGAGAACTGAGATATATTTTCTTTAAGTCCTCATGAAAATGCGTGATGTGGCTGCACCGTTATCCTCAAGCAGTGATGAGGAACTGATGGACAACAAGGGTAAGATAATGTCTTTAGGGTCACTCAGCCCAGTGGCGGTGTTGGGATTGGAACCCAGATCATCTGACCTCAGTCCTGGAGACCACAGTGCTGAGCTTCCCAATAGTGCAGTGTTTAAACTCTGCCTGCTGCCGCCAGTTAGCTTTAGAATAGCCCTGCAGTGAAGACAATGGAGAAAATACTATCTGCCAAGATATAGTTCACATAATTTTATCAGTACTATGCTTGTAGGATTAATAGAGAATAAAATGGCTGTAACAAGGCTTTTTCTGTCCCACCAATCAGTTCCCAAATAATGACATGGAGACTTTTTATTAATTATGAAAGCTCAGCCTATAGCTTAGGCTTGTTCCTAACTAGCTCTTATAACTTAAATTAACCCATTTATATTAATTTACATTCTGTAGTCTGGCATTATTTCTCTTCCATCTTGCACCTCCTGTTTCCTTTCCTGACATCTCCTGCATGCCTAAATCCTGCCTCCTCTTCTATCTCTCCCTGGAAATCCTGCCTATACCCCCTGCCTAGCTATTGGCCAGTCAGCTTTTATTACATCAGTCACAGCGATGTATCTTCACACAATGTACAAATATTCCACAACAAATGGTCAGTTCACAAGTAAGAAAGCTAAAAGCAGAGAAGTGATTTGCTGAAGAAAAGGTGATCAGGAAGAAGCAGAATTCAGGTTTCTCTCCTCCTACCATTTGCCACCCTGTGACCCAGCAATGAGGAATGTCTGTCCTTCAAGCCATCCCGGTGGCTGTGCCTGTGTGAGGCTCACAAGTACAGGATGTGCCTCATGGAAATCCACAATGCTGATAGCTCAGTTAAGTGGCGCCTGCATGACAGGGCAGCTGCCTCACACAGTGCGTAAGAGAGAGCATCAGTTAGGGTAGGGCGTTCCAACTTTGTGTGTGTGTGTGTGTGTGCATTCAAACTCTGTGTGTGTGCGCGTATATATGCATTCAAACTCCGTGTGTGTGTACATTCAAACTCTGTATGTGTGTGCGTTCAATCTGTGTGTGTGCGTGTGTGTATGCATTCAAACTGTGTGTGTACGTCTGTGTATGTGTGTGTGCATTCAAATTCTGTATGTGTGCGCATTCACACTGTGTGTGTGTCTGCATTCAAATTGTATGTGTATGTGTGCATTCAAACTGTGTGTGTGTGATTGTGTGATTGTAGTAGCCCTCTGGGATACAGCAGGGTTCGCGCCAAAGGCGGGAACTCTTAACATGACACACTTTCTGGAAACTAGGTCAAAACAATAGGAAGGAAAATCAGTTGTTTTCTGGGTAGAACTTTCTCCCTAGGTCTTGATGACAGAGGCCTCTCATGACTTCAGCCACTGTTCAGAAGGGCATCTCACAGGGTGCTTTAAGTCAGAAGATGCATGGAGGGTGAAACCACCTTCCCTATTAAACAAACCTTGGAGACCTGATTCCCCTAGGCTGATTGCTGAGAGACCAAAGGATCAGTGGTACATTTCAAAGAAACAGATGAATTCCTGAAAAGACGGGTTTGAATTAGGAAGCCACATACTTCAGCAGCACAAGGGGGAATTAGGTTTAGAATAAAAAAGAGTTTGATGGAAATGAGAGGCTTTAAAAATCGGCCTGCCTAAGCTGTCTCCCCCAGGCTGCGTCATTTAAGAGAAGTCCCACAGCACCCCGCTTGGAGCTATGCCATGGAGTTGATATTCCAGCCTGTATCAGGAGGCAGTTCACTTCACAGAGAAGGAACAGACACTGCCCAGAGCACCCTACATCTGAGTTCTGAAAGATGCCAATGTTGTCAGACAGTTCAGAAGTGTCAGGGCTTGGAGCCTGACATTTTCAATCTCCAGCAGTCTGCAGGAGACTGTTAGATGCTTATTAGGAAATAAATTAGATGCTGTGGGTTTCCCTCAGTGCACTTTTCTAAAAATGGCAGCATTTTAAAATACAGATAGCCTCAGGTACTGTTTTCAGTCTTATCTTCTAGTATGCTTTCAAATGACTGTTTTTCACAAAAGAAATTCATTTGCTCTCTCTCTTTTTCTCATGCATGCACACATGTACACACACATGTGTTTGCCTATAATTGCTTAACTTTTTCCCATTAATCTTTCCCCTTAGGACGTGAGGTGATTCTGGGTCACAAACCATTGTCCTCTTGTTTTGTTGTTGAGGCAGGATCTCACTATGTATCTCTGGCCTTGTACTCCCTTTGTAGACTAGGCTAACCTTGACCTCAGAGATCCACTTGCCCTAAGTTCTGGGATTAAAAGTGTACGCTACCATACCCAGCTACAATCTATTAGGGTTTTTTTTGTTGTTCTTTCTTTTGGGTTTTTTGTTTGTTTGTTTTGGGGTTTTTCAAGACAGGGTTTCTCTGTGTAACCCTCGGTTTCCTGGAACTTGCTCTGTAGATCAAGCAGACCTCAAACTCAGACATTCACCTGTCTCCCAACTGCTGGGGTTAAAGGCGTGTGCCATCACTACCCAACTTGTTTTGGGGTTCTTGTTGTTGTTTTGTTATTGTTGTTTTTGTTTTATGTATATGGATGTTTTGCCTGTATGTGCGTTTGTATACCACATTTCTGCCTGGTGCTGGCAGAGTCCCAAAGAGGTTTTCAGATCCCCTGGAACTGGAGTTATAGTCACCATATGGGTTCTGGGATTCAGACCTAAATCCTTTGGTAGAGCAGCCAGGGTTCTTAACCACCAAGTCATCTCTCCAGATCCCAAACCACTGTTCCTGATTGATAGCTGCCTGTATGATTTTGGTTCCACCATTTCAGGAAATGTACCCTTTCCGCTTGGTTTGGGCAGATCCTTCTAGGCTGGCACACTGTTTCTGGCTTTCCTCCATGGCAGTTGAGAAAGGAGCGTTCGTGTAGTCTAGATGTGAACATCACTAGTGGGGCTGTGATACTGAGTTGCCAGGTCTTTTCTTAGATTTCTGTTTACATTATATAATCTCTGGATTTGTACTCATTGGTAAAGCAGGCAAGATCAAAGGAAGTATTTTGAAACTGCTCTATGCTCCCTTCCTGTTATGATTTGAGCTGAGTGACAAACCTGGTAGAGTCGCATAGAGAGGCTTAGAGACCTGTTCAAGAGGGATTGCCCACATCCACATCCGTCTGTCATTCACCGCTGCCTAGCTCCCCACATCATGACGTAGAGTACAGACTGAACATGGAAGTCTCGGGGCAGTGACACGCCACGCCTTTGTTTCAGGATATTACCCTGTGTGGTAAAGAGACTCAGCAGTGATTCCAGCGTGGGCAGGGATAGCAGTAGCCATATGGTTCAGATGCACCCAGGACAGCCAGCCTACAATCTCAGCTTCGTCATTTGTCACCAGTGGGCTATGACAAACAAAAGCGTGTGGCCCTTCCAAGCCCCAGATTGCCCTTTTGTAATGCCTCTCAGATTGCAGTAAGGATTTAAAGTAGAGCAAGCCTGGCACATGGTCAGGGCTTAGTGCTGGTGTTATTATTTTCATAATAACTGAAAACCTTATAGTTTCATTGAAAAATCAAAATCAGTATTCAGGTGTGGGACAGTTCTTTTACAAATCTAGTTTTTCCATTTTGTTTTGTGCTTTGAAAAAAAATTGGGGTCACACGTAGCCCAGACCAGTCTCCAACTCAGTATGTAGCTGAAGCTAATCCTGTCTTTGATTGTCCCCATTCTAAAGCCCAGGGCTCCCAGGTGCTTGGATTATAGGTGTGAATCACAATGCTCAGCCTACCAATTTCATTTTTTACAAATGAAATCTGTATTTATACAAATAAAAAATATGTATTTATTTGGCAAGGGGTGGTCAACTGTCTACTATGAGTATGTGGGGACACTGAACAAGCTGTGGGAATCAGTTTTCTCTTTCTACCCTGCAGGTCGTGGGGATTGACTCGGGTCATCAGAAATACCTGCAAGAACCCTTACCCACTGAGCCATCTTGACAGCCCGAATTTAACTTTTTAAACATTAATCATTAACTTAGACTTTTAGCTTTTGGAGGTAATTCTAAGTAACCTAATACTTGTACCTCCTTGTGTTCCTGTAAGGCAGAGCTAGCAACTGCTTGAGACCTTAGGATACCTGCCGTTTTTTATCCTCTACGCCTTTGCTACCTTTGGCTTTCCCTAGACTTGGAGGTGACATGGAGCTGGGACAGTGAAGGATCTTGATTGTTTTCTTCTTATACCTTGGGGAAAAAAATTTATCAGGTCCGTGGGAGGGGGACCTATGGAAGCAGGGAGAGACCCTGGATCTCTGCAGCCCACCTGCCTTTTGTGTGTCTGCACTGATTTCACCGCTTCAGGAAAGAGTGTGAAATCCATCTTGGTACAGCAGATCTATGCCCAGAAATGTTCCCGCAGAACAATTGCCATCATGATATTAGAGGTTCCTGGTTACAGTAGAATGTGGTTTTAGGATAATGCCACATGCGTAGACCTAACCTTGCGGTACCTGCTGTGATACCCTAGTGCTCTCTGCCCGCCTAGCCTTGCCTGGCTAGTGTGTGTCTCTCCTCTGTCTGTCTGTCTGTCTGTCTGTCTGTCTGTCTGTCTGTCTCTCTCTCTCTCTCTCTCTCTCTCTCTCTCTCGGCAGCTGTCCTTGCTGCTGTGTGGAGTACTGCGTCTTGCTCTGTGGCTCACACACTGACCTGGGAGCTGTTGACAAGCTCTTGTTGTACATTCCAGGGGTGATCACTGTAGGAATTTTAAGTCCCTCTGTTAACCTCATACCAAAATCTAGGGATTTTGTGTTTTGGAAATTTTGATACTGAGTGTGAGCTTGTGGTTTTTGAGAACTATCAGCCTCCCTGTGGGGACAGTTTGTGTAAAATAGTTTCACAGTACAGCATGTTCAACATATTCAGCTTGTTTCAGAATAGACTGACAAGAAATGGTGCCCACCAAGTGATGCTCAGAACTCTGTTTCTCCCTCAGTTCTAGAGAGCAGAACAGGAAAGTCAAGCTCTCTCTGGGAACCTAACAAACAGGGACTAGTGGCCCTGTGTGTTCTGCTCACATCCTCACTCTGCTCAGTTGGGCATAGGGTACAAGAGGGACCAGAGAAAAGATAAATGAAAGGCTCCTCTTACATGTATTTGGCTTTATTTTTCATATTATGGCGATTTTCAGTTTTCTGGACTGAGTTCCACTCATCTGTCTTCGAAGGTACTAGTGTGTAGTCTCTGGCCAGCCACACATTATTGCCCCATGATGTCATAACCGGTCTGCGCTTCAAAGAGCCTTTCCTCTTCTCGAACTGATTCATAAATACAGAAAAAAAGTGTGACTACCTAGTGCTGAGCCCCTTAAAGGACAGTTTTCATGAATGCCAGCGATAGCACCTCGGGGCTGGGTGCCCTCCCCTGCCCACGGGGCTGCTCTGGCCACAGCTGTGGAGACCGTGAGGCTTCCTTATGGCCTCCTTATCCTGCATTCCCAGCATACTTACTTTCTGAGTAATCCCCACAGTTCCACTGAATGGAAGAACTGAGCTGTTCCCAGGCGTTTCCAAGCCTCTGCCCACACAGATACAGCAGTCAGGCACTTTTAAAACAGGAAGAGGAGAGGCACTGTTTCCACCATAAAACATACACAAGCCCAACAAAGATTCAAGCCCGAGGTGGAAGTAACAGAGTGCTTCCTGCTATTACTCACCGGCTCACGACGGGAAAGCTCCAAGGACACGCCAGATTCTAGTTTAGCTGTCTCTCTTTACATATAAGGAAACTGAGGCCCACGGGGAATGGCTTTTGTCTAAGGTCACCAACAAAGCCAAACAGACTCTGAGCCCAAGTCTGCTGGAGCACAATTCAAAATTTTCCTTCTCTCCCACTGCGTTTCCAGGTTGTTAGGGCAGATGATGGAAGCCTAGCAATAGGGACCACGGGCAGAAGGAGGAGACCAGGAAAGAGGCTTGAAGATGCTCATTCAGGACCTCTGCTGACCGTCCCCTCACCTGTTCTCAGGGCAGCCCTAGACTTCTGTCTAAACATCTGAGGAGTGATGTTTCCCAGCCTTTTGCTGAACTTGAAGCACAGGGAACTTTGGACTAGATGCTGGGTCATTGGGGGCCTCAGAAAGGGGCATCAGCCCTAGGTCCTCTAGCGGTCTGCAGAGCGTATAGGGCAGACTCAGGTACTCTGGCCTGGAAGTGCACCCTGAAGGAGGCTGCAGAAGCTGAGGATGCTTGAACATGGAAGTGGGACAGGAGGCTCATGGGGGTAGGAGTCAGACTGAGCTTAAGGCCCGGGTCTGAGTGACTCAGCTGCTTAACCTCTCTGAAATTGATGGAAGAAGGTTAATTTAGGGATCAAAATAGGCGATATTTGGAAAATGTCCAACTATTTGATAAATCTTAGCTAAAACCACAATTAACAATAAGGTACCGAGTGGCAACTAGCAGTGGGTTGCAGCCCATCCCCCACTCCTGTTTGTGGAATGGCATCTATTCTGTGGTACCAGGGGAGCTGCCATCAGTTTCCCCTAGCCCCTCCCCTGCTTCATAGCCCATTTCTGCGTCTGTAGTCTCTGTCTCCTCCACATCCTCTTTTACAGACATCGGTGAGTAGAGAACCCAAGGAACCCCACCATTAGAGACTTCCTCAAGGTCCAGTCCTGGCCCCAACTTTGTTCTGTCTCTTCCAGATTCATGTGCTCGCAGCTGCCCAACCAGGTTCTGAAGAGCATCAGCATCATCGACAGCCCCGGCATCCTGTCCGGGGAGAAGCAGCGCATTAGCCGAGGTCAGTGCCTGGCCACCCCACCCCCACCCCCACCCTCTCCAGACCATTTCTGCTCCTGTCCCGTTCTTCCCACCCCTCCAGGACAGCCACAGCCCAGGGCCTCCCATAGTACCCTATGCAGCCAAAGAAGCCCCAGGAAACAAGTGAGGAGGTTTCATAGCTCAGCCATTTCAGCTAGTTCCAAGCTCAGATAAATGTCAGCACCCAGGAGGTAACTGTTCACTCGGACACGTGGCATTCTTCCCACTGGTATGGGTTTCACCCCAGGAGCCTTGAAGCATCTCGCCATGAGGAAGCTTTTGCTAGGCAGACACAATTCTGTGCATACAGCAGAAACAGACCTGGTTTCTGTCCTTGAGGAACTGGAAACGAAGTAGGCATCCTTCATGTTGTCATAGAACTAAAATGAGGACTGGGTGAAATACCACGAACTGCAGCCCAGTTTCCAGGTAGCAGGGAGCCTGACCTGGCGCTGGAGCGTGGAAAGAGGCACCCCCGAGGCTCTGAAGGACGAGTAAGAATTACTCAAAGGAAACTGATAAGGAAAGAGCCAGTCTGTAGGAAGATCAGAAAGTGCTTGAACAGTGTCGTGGGTTCCATTCGCCTTAGCAGACAAGGCCATGGTAGTTGATAGTCGTTTCCAGACCTGGGCGTTATGGTTTTAATGGGTATACTGCCACCTTCAGGTCCCGCTGCCATAGAAAAGCTCATGGGACAGATCCTAGGACAGCAGCCGAGAGAAGAAAGGCCTGGCGGGAAGCGTGCAGGGTGGATCCCAAGGTTATGGTTGTGAGGTGGGCCCTACCGCTATCACTTCCTGCTGATAGCTTCACAGACCTTTGCACAGCATGGTGAAACCGTGCCTGCCACCCTTGAGTGGCAGCCACTCTAGTCAGCCGTGAGTGTGACCAGCAGTGAACTCCTCAGTCCAGGAAGCAAAAACGTGGTTGTTCAGTAAAGGGAAGCTGCTTGCTGGCACCGGAAGGGTTTCTTCGGCCAGTGACCTCCTTCCTTCGCCAATCTGTGGACTCACAGAGAGCTGGGTCTGCCTGGCTCATCCTGCGGTCTTTGCTGATTCTGGCAGGGACACTTAACAGAGTCGTCACACAATCTGATGGTTAGAGAGAAAGGAGAAAACAAAACAACAAAACCAGGCTTACACTGGTCTTCTCTCCCGAAGATCTTGTTGTTGTTGTTTCCTGTTATAAAAATAGAATCCAAACGAGTAAGGGTATGAAGAAGCTCACGCTGTCCCAGCAGCTCTTCCTACACATCCAAACACATAATTTCTAGCGGAAACACAATGACCAAACACATTTCCCACAACTGACCTTTTGCCGTATGATCTCTGTGGGCTTAATAAAAGGAATGTATGCATTCTGTTTAACTAATAATGTGTTAGCGGTTTTTCACTTTTACAAAGAGAATTACAGGTTTGTTTGGTTTTGGTGGAGCTCTGTAGCTCAGTCCCCATAGATGAGTTTGTTTTGTTTCGTTTGAGACAGGGTCTCATGTATCTCAGGCCAGTGAGACCCTGGCTCAAAAAGCAAGGTAGATAGCCCCTGAAAAATGGCAGCCAAAGCTATCTTCTGACTGCCACATGCATGGGCATACACATGCACATTTGTGACCAAGTGTGTGCACACGCAGCACCCTAGTTTGGGACCCTTAATCTGAAAGGCTGGTGAGGTGTTTTATTTGGGGGAAAAACAAATGAGCTATCCCAATTTACTGCTTCTACTTGTCTGACTTAGTATTCTGAAGAAATATGTGACCCTGATAAATCTTTTTACCACAGAATTTTAGGGCTTCTAGGGTGTGGCTTCCACCTTGTCCCCTTTTTTCCCCAATGGCAGGCCTTTGTCAATGCTCACCTTCCATATGTTTTAGTGTTTCTCTTATGTGTAGTAATTACAAGTGTCTTTCAAGCTGTAGCTCCTGCCCGGTGGTGCCAAAGCCTGGCATGATGCTTCTAGTTTGCTTTGAAGATCAGTTTCTGTCGACACTTGGTATGATCTGACTCACATCCTGGTCTGACTTACTGTCCACTCACATCCTATACACAGAAATAGCACGCGTGGCCCAAGCCCACCAGCTGGCCCCTGCCATTCTGAGGGACACAGCAGCTGTGGGGAAGGACCTTGGACTCTAAAACAGTGCTGTGGACTGTGGCCAGGGTTTCCAAGCCTGTTGACACATGGTATTGGGGACATAGTTGGTGGTTGGAGTCACTCAACTGACATATTCATTACCAAAGAATAAGTAGCGTCTTAAACACGCTTCAGCTTCAGCAGTTTGGCACACCTCACATGTGCTCAGGCTAACGTCCATCCTTCTGTCCAGCTTGGACACAGCCCAAGCATGTGGTCTTAATTTGTTAGAAATTAAGGTCAGCACAGCCAATGGAGTACTTACCAATTGTGACTCCATGGGCATTAAAAACATCCCATATTGACTTTATTGTTAAGTGTCTGACTCCCTCGCGAACGTTTTGTCTGTAAGAGGAAGAAAGTGTGGGGGGGCGGGTACTGATGTATCATCCCCGTTCTCCATTTTCCTTTCTGCAGTTGATGGGTTAACCCTCAACAAGCCTTGTGACTTACTCTCTTATGCAATAAAGGAGACCACTTGAGGTGGGTATTTGTAATAATGTAAGAGGCATAGCGTGCTAAACCCTTGTTATATGTCACTCTAAACACTGTTAGTCATATGGGCTTTATTATTTAATTTAAACCTGAACATAACCATGAGCAGACAGAGCTAAAGACTCCTCACCCTCCCACTTCTGGGAAAGCAGCCTTGAAAGCAGCCATGAGCATTTTTCCCAGTTGCTAGGCAGATGTGTGACCAAGTCTGAGACCTGAGGAGCAGGGTAAAAATTACTAACAGTGTTACATTTGGAGAACAGGCTCAGAAGAGTGGCTGTTCCAGCATTGTTGACAGTCTAAGATAATGTGGAAGCCCGCTCACCTTCCCACCTGTGGGGAGCTGCAGAGAGCCTGCATGAAGGAGTGCTAACGATGGGAGGAGAGGTGTGTGTATGTGTGTGGTGTGTGTGTGTGTGTGTGCTGACTGCTGAGCACCCCCAGGAAGAAGTACTGACTCCTGCAAACCCAGTGTCTTCCTTTAGCTTGGGACAAGCAGATAGTAAGGAGGCAGTTGAGCATTATGCTACCCTGCTGTGGTCACATTAGACAGGATGGACCTGAACTGGAGAGCTGGCTTTTGTCACACTGGCGGTCCTCATACCACATTACCCAGAGTAGTGAGGACCAGGGTCCAGAGATTTAGGGATCAGGCAGCCTAGTGCCATGTATATATTCAGGAAGGAGTCGGATACTTTAGTGGTAAAAGCAGAAACAGGAACTCTTGAACCTGGAGTTCAGTTACGTGCCTCCCTTTGCCTGCAGCTCTACACATCATGTTAATTCTCTCATTGCGTTATAATCCCCGCGTCTTTATTCTGTGCTGGGCAGAAGGGCAAGTGTGGTTACCAGAGTGAAGGCAGTGTTGTGCAGCCATGCCTCTTCTCTAGGCCCGTAATGGGGAGAGAAGAAACGTGTGAGCTTTCTGAGTGATACCTCGTATTCTGCAGTGTTGGGTTTGATGCAAAGTATGTCCAACCCCACCTTAAGTTATAAGCAGCCATAAAAGCTTATAAAGCCATAAAGAGATGCCTCTGCAGAATCTGGCAGACTCTAGCAGTGCCCCTCAAAGTCAGGGCATTGTACTCCCTCCTGCCTCCTTGCCTCCTCCCTCCTGCTGGACTGCTCTGTGCTCCAGAGTCAACAAGGATGCTGACAGTTAGGTAATTGGTTTTGAAGTAACTGTTTCATACCACTCAATATGGAGATCCTTTAGATGTATCTTAGTTCAATCATAGCAGAAAACCTTTAGGAACAAACAATTAGGTTTATTTAGTGAACTGTAGCTTTTCTTGACTGGTATGAAGGATTGAATGCTTATCAAGCAGGAATAAAAATACTCAGATATATTTATAATAATTTTATTGAAATCAAGTAATAGCTAACTATAAGTCCTTCAAATGTTCTTGCCAATAAGAGAATGTGTGGGTTCTTCAGATTTTTTCAGATTATTTTTCTGAATTGGGTGTGTAAATTCTGAGCTAGCTCACCCTTCGGCAGCTCCTTTGCCCCAGTGGCAGCTTCCAGATTGTTGACGCAATGTGACGAGCTGGACGAGCGCGCTTATCCACGTGCACATCCTTGTTTCCACTCCCAGTCTGTTATCATCCTGGCTCTCAGACTGTTTGCTTCCTAGACTACCGTTTATTCCATGCAGAACCTAAACATCACCTAGGGTTTATTTCTGGACTTGGCATGAAAACCAGTGTGTTCTCAGCTACTTGGGATAAACCTCTTCAGTCTAACTTTAACCACAGCATCTGCGTCTTTGAGCAAAACACAGAAGAAAATTGTAGCGCGGCCATCAGTGCCCTTGGCCGTCTCTCTAGCACGATTGCACTGAGGTGCTGTTTTAGCTGCAAATAATTCTTCCTGTGGATTCCGGAGGAGACTGAGATTTGTCTCTAAAGATTTGATTATGGCAACAAAAATAGAACAGTTTTTCCATCCTAAAAATGCAAATAACGCCAGACATGGTGGCTCATGTCTGTAATCCCAGCACTTGGTAGACTGAGGCAGGATTTAGCAAGTTCAAAGGAGACCTAGGATACATAGTAAGTTTGAAGCCAGCCTGGGCTACAGAGTGAGACCCTGCCTCAAACAACAAACAAAGTGAAGTTAAACCCTTGACTAGACATGGTGGCTCACACCTGCAGTCCCAGTACTCAGGAAGCAAGAGTTTGAGGTAGACTAGCCTGGGCTATAAATGAGACCCTGTCTCAACACAAAACAAAATAAACAAAAAATGCAAAGAAGTCTAGAGGGAAAAACAACCTCTTGGCCTGGCTCTTCTATCAAATCTACTTTTCTTCCCAGGGCTCATACTCATCAAATGAAAGCTGAATTTCTTCCTCT